TCATGTTCCTTTTAAATGTTCTTTGAGCTGTTATCCTAGGTGTAATTTCCTTTGCTCTTTTAAAACCACAAAGAAAAAATGGATAAATGGGTAAGATCAAGACTGTAGGGTATATGGTGTAAGGTCTCCCAATGAAATACTTATAGGCTGGCCCTTACTTCCCTTGAAGAGTGAGAAGGTACATTGTTTTGATGGACAAAAAATTCCTGTCAAACTTTCTTGTTCTGTTCTCACCAATGCAGTTTTTCATTGTCTTAAAACATTTTCATAGCAAGTCCCCATGATCATCATGTGTGTTTTTTATAAGAAAAATCTATCAAGATTATTCCATTGGAATCCCAAAATATTGTTGTCATAGCCTTCTGAGTTGAGCTGACCTCTCTGCCTTCAATTTAACTGCACTACCAAATCCCCTCAGAAGCCACTGTTTTGATTGGACCTTCTTTTGAAGGCACCATAGTGAGACAGGAGTCCTGTTGTGGTGCTATAGGATAAGTACTGGACTGTTAACTACAAGGTCTTCAGTTCAAATCCATCAGCCACTTCTTGGAAATACTATATAGGGTTATTATGAGTCAGAACCAACTTCATGGCACTCAACAATAACAACAACTAACAAGACTAAGACAAGTGTATTGCTGAGAGAACTTATCTGCAGCCAGCCACTGATCACAAAGTCATGTTTAAGCATGTTTTGTTTGGAATATACTAATACATATATGAACTGGAACACTAATAGACATACTTTTTTGCTTAACCTCATGTAAGGTTTATGTGGAAAATCCAATACAAATCAATATTTTAATGTGGACCTATATATCATATGGAGTCCTGGTGTGGTGCTGTGGGTTAATGTGCCAGACCGCAAAGCTGTCTGAATTGCAAGGTCAGCAGTTCAAGCTCACCAGCTCCTCCTCAGAAACCCTATACAGGGTCGTTATGGGTCAGAATTGACTCGACGGCACTTAACAACACTTAACAACATATATTGTATGGTCTTCTGGTGTGGTGCTGTGTATTAGCACTGGACTGTGAACCATCAAGGTCAGCAGTTCAAATCCACCAGCTGGTCCTTGGAAACCTTATATAGGGTCACTATGAGTTGGAACCAACTCAACAGCACTTAATAACAATGACATATATATAAAACAAAATTATTTATCCACATGGATTTTGCCAGTATGCACAGAGGTAGATGACATTAAGAATTCTGGTGTGCCACTGTGAGATAAGCACAAGACTGCTAACCGCAAGGTCAGTGGTTCAAGCCCACAGTTGCTCCTCGCAAACCCCATACAGTGTCACTTTGAGTCAGAACTGACTCAACGGCACTTAACAACAACAAAGATGACCTATAGAAGGGTATTAGTGACAAATGAGCTGTTATCCTAGGTGTAATTTCCTTTGCTCTTTTGAAACCACATAGATTCTAGTGATTTTTCCAGACCATATAGCATACAACATATTTGACCTAAATACCTATTTCCATTTAACTGTGAAGAATTCATGTTGCTGTTGTTATCATTGTTGTTGTTAGGTGCACAACAGAACTGTGCACAACAGAACAAAACACTGCTTGGTCCTGTGCCATCCCCTAAGTTGTTGTAATGCTAGAGCCCATTGCTGCTGCCACTGTGCCAATCCATCTCATTCGGGGTTGTCCATTTTTTCACTGACCCTCCTCTCTCCTAAGTATGATTTCATTCTCCAGGGACTGGTCCCTCCTGATAATATGTACACTGTATGAGCAGTGAAGTTTCACCATCCTAGCTTCAAAGGAGCATTCTGGTTGTACTTCTTCCAACATAGATTTATGTGTTATTCTGGAAATCCATGATACTTTTAATATTCTCCAACACCATAACTCAAATTCCGATGATAAGGTTATTATCATCCAGTTTGCCTATCAATATACAGATGACTAGTTTGACTACTATAACTAGGTTGAAGGCAGCATTCTTACCAGCTGAGTTAGCATACTAACAGGGAAAATTATAAACAATAATAAGCAGTCTTATGGTCAATGAGCTAATGATGGACTAAACAACATGTATGAACTTTCACAGTTATTTCTTAGGAATAATTGCTCTTACTTATGGTTGTATGCAGTGCTTCTACTCTTGCTACAAAGACAATCACATAGACTATTAGACCTTGGCGGTATCTGAAATTATGCACTTAATTTAAAATATATCTCCCAGTCTGCCTTGCATATCTAACACATCCAGGCCTACCACAGATAAGGGTTTTTCTACATGCTAAACTTTTTGGACTTTACTTAAAGAATGCACAAGGAGTCTCAGCTCTTTAATTGATGCAACCATATTTAGTGTCACTGAAATAAGTGTGATAACAGCCTGATCGTGCAAAGCTTGACATGAAGAAAACACCTGCCTGGTGTTAATAAGATACATGAATTTCAGACAACAGAAAACCAAAGAAAATTACCACTTTGTCTGTCTCGATAAAATACCAACAGAGTTCTCTATTTATTTCATTATATTAAAAAGTTTATTTGAATTACTATGAAAAGTGAACAGAAAATCATATGGATTATTGGCTTATGTTGGTGAGGGGTTTTAAAACATAGCAGATTCTTTATAGGTACTAGCAGTTTACTAAAGCACATTTAAAGTAAAAAAGGTATCTATTATTCTGGATAGTCATTATATCACTAAGCTAAGTGGGAAATAAATTTCTAGTCTCTTGGTAGGACTGGATATGTCCAACATTAATTTAAACACACACACACACACCTGTCTCAAGATTCATATCCTCAGTAGAAAAAAAATTCAAAGTTTCTGTCAATTTCCATTCTTTTTATCTCTAAGAGAAAGTCTTTTAAAATATCAAAAGCATTATTACAAAGACAACTGAAAATCCATGGCTTCTCTTTCTTTACTGTTCAGAAGAACAGTAAGAGTATCTATCCCCCAACAGATTCAGAGCATTATTAAACTTAAAAGAACAAGAATGTCTGTGATGTCAAATTTAAGCAAGATTTCCAGAACCCCAATCATATGTTCTTAATTTGGGGGAAGCACAGTCTAGTCCCTGTTTTTGTCTGCTTATTTGTTTGTTTGTTTAACATACATGGGACAAACTCTTTGTTAGACTTTCTTTTTCCTAGGAGACATGTTTACACATCATTTTTAGGAAGTGTAGTTTTATCTTATTTCCTTCCTAGTTATTTTATTTATTTATGTGTTTGTTTCTTTTAATATCCTAGCTTGCACACCAAAAGGATAGCTAATATTCATGTATGCTGTTGTTGTTATTGAGTGCTGTTGAGTCAGTTCCAACTCATGGGGACCCTATATAGGGTATCTGAGGAGAGGCTGATGGGTTTGAACCCCTGACCTTGCAGTCCAATACATTATCCTGCAGTGTCACACCAGGACTTTGTACTCATGTATAGGCAGCATTTAAGTGACTCGGACAAATAGATTCATAAACTGTAAGAACAGTTGAAATCCGTGATATTGTAAAAACTTAACTTGAACACCTACACTTAAACTCATATTGCATTGAACTAGTAGCCAGAACTGTTAATAGACCAGCTGAAGAGATTTGCAGTTTCATAGGATAAGCATGTTAATAATTTCAATACTTTCACAATAATATCACTTTTGAACTTCCCAATATCAATATGGGAAAAGAAGAGATATATAATTACAAACTCACTACCATCAAGTTCCCCAGAGCAGCTGGTGGATTTCAATCACTGACCTTGTATTTAGCAGTCTAGCACCTAACCTACAGTACTACCAGCCCTCCTTGGTATAGAATTACAGAAGGTTTTATTTTTATCCTCATTTTTTAAATGAATAAATTGGGAATCAAACATCATGCTACAAAGTATATGCAGGTAATCAACCCTAGAAAAATTAAGAATCTGGCATTCTATACTTTGTTGAGTTTATGGCATTAACTATTATGAAAACCTCCTACTTTTGTTCACAATGACCCCTATTGTCAGGCTTATCTCTGGACTGCCCCATGTCCACATCAGGTTGTTTTTTTTTTCTGTTTCTGACCTTTGTATCTATATATCCCCCACAGCCTCCATACTTTCTTATATTAGCTCTATTGCTCTTGCATATCCAAACACTACTTTCAAGCTCCTGCTTATATTCTACCACCTTCAGGAAGTCTTCTTGTCCCCACGGCTCTTTAAGTCACACTTCTTTCTTAACTAATACCACATTTAGAGGATCTTAGTTTTCAATTTCTTAAGTGTTTCATTTATGTTCCTCTTACTACCTCAGCTAAACTATAAGCTCCTGCAAACAGAGATCATTTTTTTTTATATATATAAATTTGCTGCACTACTGGACTGGGTGTACAAGTGGTTGGTAAATACCTGTTAGTTATTTGATCTGTCTTGAGGAGCCAGTACTGAAACATAGTTCGTCCTACCGTGTTTGTATTTCTAACCTTGTGACTTATAAGTTAGTCTTGATAATCACTTATCAAATTGTAACAAGTTTTATTATAGTTGTTTGGTTTTGTTTTTAAAATATATCTCTACAGCAAATGTCTCTTGTATTGATTTCTAATGGTCAGTGAAGCCCAAGCATATGACCTAGGGAATCAAACCAAGTACTGATGCCTGATGGATTTCCTGAATTGAACAGGCATTTGGCCCATATATCAGTATTGAGAACAGGAAGAGGAGACTTTATGCAGTGATTGCTTTTCTACAGAATTGCATTAGCATCACCCATTCTGTTAGTCATAATTTCTCACTAGATCAGGAATATCTATTAATGGTAGTTCCTGTGGTACAGCATATGAAAATGCATTCCATTATTCATTATAAATGCTGCTGATCAAGCATATTATCATTACAAACTTAATTTTTAGGAAAGAAATATTCAGGCAAAAATAACACACTTTAGAGTCATTGCGTTAAGAAAAAGACAGTATATAACAACTTGAATCTTCTGGAATAAAAGCATTTTGCTTAAGTAACTAGCCACTTTTGTTTCTATTTTAAGGTGAATTTGGAGAAGTCTGTAGTGGGCGTTTGAAGACACCAGGAAAAAGAGAGATCCCTGTTGCCATCAAAACTTTGAAGGTTGGCCACATGGACCGCCAGAGAAGAGATTTTCTAAGAGAAGCTAGTATCATGGGTCAATTTGACCACCCAAACATTATTCGCCTTGAAGGTGTTGTCACTAAAAGTAAGTAACTATTTACCTTCATTATGGGTTTATATATTTGCCTCAGCACTTCAAAAGAGGAGAGAGAAGGAAAAACAGAGCTTAGTAATAATGCCGTTGTTATTAAGTGCTGTCAATCGATTCTGACCCATAGCGACCCTGTATAGGGTTTCCAAGGAGCAGCTGGTGAGTTTGAACCGCCAGCTTTAGTGTTCAAATGGTTTTGCAGTCTGGTGCATTAGTCCACAGCCCACAGCGCCACACCAGTCCTGGTATGGTGCTGCAGGATCATGCACTTAACAGTCTAAAATTTTTTTTTTCCTTTTATTCAACTGCAAAATTATATATATATATGTTTTGTTTTGTTTTTGCTACTTTGCATTTTGTTCCGTATCATGTCCTATGCTAGAAATATTGAAATGATGTGAAAACAAACCAGGACTAATTTGAACTACAGCTGGACTCTGTTGTGTGATGGTGATATTTCATTAGTTGCAACTTTTTTGGGGTGATCTGCAGTTTGAAAATGAAGACCTCAAAAAGAAAATGTAAAACTGTTGTTGTTTATTGGTTTTTGATCTTGCCATTTTTATTTAAAACCATCTCCCCTCCATGATTCCTTATGAAAGCTGCACCAAATCATCTGCCTGTGGTTTTGTTTTTGTTTCTATTTTTTTGTTGTTTTTTCTTGATACTTATTAAAATAGTAGGTTTTATTGCAGGGTTTTTTTCTGTTTGTTTGTTTATATAGGTTGTGAATGATGCTTTTTTATGTTTATTAATCTCAGATTCACTTATAAATAAACTTGATAATGGAAACAGACAATAAATAAATAAATAAATAAATGAATGAATGAATGAATGAATGACCCTGGCATGTTGAAGGGTCTTTCCCCACAAAGAGCAGCAGCATCTGGTGAAACTGCAGACCCCATGACACCTTACTCATCACCGTGGGGAGTGCTGTCTCGTCTAATGACCGCCATTGGAAACCCTGTCTAGCTGACAAGGTCATTCCAGCCCCAGCTCTGAACCCAGAGCATCAACCCTTACAAAAAGTGAGCTGGTGGGAGAGGCTGTGTAACACAAAGTGCATATGACCTCAGCCCTGCAGTCCTTTGCAGTGAGGTAGGGCAGATGGGCAGCCCCGGGGTCATGTAGGGTCACTGATGCTTGCTGGAGGCCCAGCTGGTGTGTGGCTTTGCCATACTGGTGGCCCTGGGTCCTGTTCCCCCTGCAATGCCTCTGCCCCCTGGAGGCCCCATGTCTAGTGGATGATCTAGGTTGATCTGAACCTCAAGTTAGGTGGTTCAAACTTATCAGCCACTCCTTGGAAATTCTATATAGGATTACTATGAGTTGTAACCAACTCTACAGTATTTAACAACAATACAACAATACCATAGTCATTAAAGAAACAACTTAATTCAAATAGCATCTTTTGGTACCATCTGTCAAGGTCTTGATTAGACTATCACATTATCAGAGTTTGCATGGATCACCAAATAGGAGCTCTGGTAGTGTAGTGGTTACAAATCAGGCTGCGAACTGCAAAGTCAGCAGTTCGAAAGTACCAGCTGTTCTGTGGGAGAAAGATGAAGGTTTCTGCTCCCGTAAAGATTTACAGCCTTGGAAACCCTGTACAGGGTCGCTATGAGGCAGAACCAACTCCACGGCACATAACCACTATCACCAATTTGGTTTGAAGTAATAAATCAAGACAAAAGATTAATGATTTTTTTTTCTAATTTCTGTAAGCTGGTCACTTGTAATGCTGCCTAAGTGTCAATATTCATGTTATTGTAAGTGCCATAGAATCTCGTCCAACTCATAGCAACCCTATGTACAACAGAACAAAATACCCAGTCCTGTGCCATTCTCACAATTGCTATTTTCTTGAGCCCATTGTTGCTGCCACTATGCCAATCCATCTCGTCGGGGATCTCCCTTTTTTTTTTTTTTTTTTGCATCCCTCCACATTACCAGGCATAATGTCCTTCTCCAGGGACTGGTTCCTACTGATAATAAGACCAAAGTATGAGAGACGAAGTCTGGTCGCATTGGCTTTTACAGAGCATTCTGGTTTTACTTCTTATAACACAGATTTGTGTGTTCTTCTGGCAGTACATGCTATATTTAATAATCTTCTCTAACATCATAAATAAATGTATCAATTTTTCAGTGCCATTCCTTACTCATTGTCCAACTTTCACATGTACATGAGGCTGTTGAAAATAATCCTGACTTGGGTCAGATACACCTTAGTCCTTAAACTGACATATTTGCTCTTGTACACTTTAAAGAGGTCTTGTGCAGCAGATTTGCCCATGCAATACATCCTTGATTTCCTGACTGATGCTTCCATGAGTGTTGGTTGTATATCCAAGCAAAATGAAGCCTTTGACTGCTTCAATCCTTTCTCCATTTATCATGCTATTATTTATTGCTCTTGTGGTAAGTATTTTTGTTTTCTTTATATTGAGATGAAGCCTATGCTGAAGGCCGTGGTCTTTGATCTTTATCAGTAACTATTTTAAGTCCTCTTTGTTTTCAGTAAGCAATGTTGAATCATCTACATATCATAGGTTGTTAATGAGTCTTTTTCCAATCCTGATTCCACATTCTTTCTTCATATAATCCAGTTTCCCAAATTATTTGCTCAGCATAGATATTGAATAACTATTGTGATTAAGGTCATTCATTTTAAATATTTTTTTAAAATCCAGAGTTAGACATGTACTCTAAAAAATAGATTGTTATATATTTAATTTTACTTGAATAATTATAGCGCATAAAATTTTGCAGTATTCTTATTTAAGTCACAAATAAATTTTAACACATAAAACTCAATAAGGAATGACATAAAAATCATTTAAATCTCTGAAATGTTTCATAAAACTAAAATTTTCCTAGAACTTTTAATGGAGATTGAAATTTTATGTCCTATTTAGAAATAAAAATCATACTAAAGACATGTTGGAGTCCTGGTGTGGTGCTGTAGGATAAGCACTGGGCTTCAGATTGAACCTAAAGGTTGGTGGTTCAAAGTCACTAGCTACTCCTTTAAAACCCAATACAGGGTCACTATGAGTTGGAACCAACTGGACGGTACTTAACACCAACAACAAAATCATGTAAGTGACGTGTTTGAAATTACTAAGAATTTTTCAACGTGTTGCCTAAAGAGGAGCAGTCATGCTAATTTGAAGGACAGAAACAGGGTTTTTGGTGAAAGCAAAAAAAAAAACACAATTATTTTAATGGCTTTACTGAAGCATCCAATAGTTACATCTAATCTAAAAGGGAGACCATTGGATCTCTACTTAGTTCTATGTATATGACCACCAAATTCAAGTCCTTTATCCATTTCTTTAAAACAAATCAAGAAAGGACAAGAAAAGAAATTGCATTGCTATTCTTATAAAACTGGGAAAATATAGAGTAGACACCATTAATATCACACATAAGTAAAACTTTACTGAAGATAATCTAAAAACATTTGTAGAAGTATATTGACAGGAAGCTGTCAAAAATTCAAGCCTAATTCAGAAGAGGACGTGGAATAAGGGATATCATTGTTGACATCAGATGGATCTTGGTTGAAAGCAGAGAATACCAGAAAGATGTTTAATTTTGTTTTATTGACTATACAAAGCTTTAGACTGTGTGGATCATATCAAACTACTAATAACAATTAGAATAATGGGAATATTAGAACACTTAACTGTGCTTATGCAGAATCTGTACATAGACCAAGAGACAGTCATTCAAACAGAACAAGGGGATACTGAGTGGTCTAAAGTCAGAAAAGATGTGTGTAAGTCTTATATGTTTTCATCATACCTATTCAATCTGCATACAGAGCAAATAATCAAAAAACAAAATAGACTATATGAAAAATGTAGTATCACAATTGGATGTAAGCTCATTAAACAACCTGTGATATGTAGATTCCACAACCTTGCTTGCTAAAAGCAAAGAGAGCTTGAAACACTTAATGATGAAGATTAGAGACTACAGCCTTCAGCATGGATTACTCTTTAACGGAAAGAAAAGCAACAAGGAGTCACAACTGAACAAACAAACAAACAAAAAAAACCAAACATGTCATGGTAGACAGAGGAGAGACTGAAGTTATCAAGGGTTTCATTCATTTGGATCCATAAACAATGCTCATGGAAGTAACATCGTCTGCAGAAGACGTCTCTAATGTCTTTGAGGACTGAAATGCACTTTACTGAAGCCATGCTATTTTAAATGTATGACATTTTATAAGGAAATCAGGAGAATTATTGATGCATTTGAATTATGATGGTAGCAAAGAATATTGACTATTTCATGGCCTGCTAGAAGAACAAAGTTGTCTTTTAAGAAGTACAGCTGGAATGTTCCTTAATAGAGAGGATGGTCAGACTTCGTCTCATATACTTTGGACATGTTATTAAGGGGGAACCAGATTTTGGAGAAGGTCATCAGGCTTGATGAAGCAGAGGGTCAGTGAAAAAAAAAGACCTCCAAAGAGATGGATTGACACAGTGACTGCAAAAATTGACTCAAACAGAACAATTGTGAGGATGTTGCAGGACAAGGTAGTGTTTTGTTCTGTTATACGTAGGGTTTCTAAGAGTCACAATCAGCTATGTGGCACCTATAAGGTGGCAATAATTATTATAGTTTTAAGTTGTAATAGTGAGCCCCATGTAAGTGTGGTGTGGTACTATCTAGGTTGGTGGTAGGGATGGGGAAGGAATCATTCCTGCAATAATAATTGGATGTATTTATACTGTTATCTTCTTGACTCAAGTGCCATGGGATCATTAAGAGAAAGGCAATAAAAAAAATGAATGTCTCATTCCCATAAATACGTTGTAATTGTTCCAAGATTGCCCTTTAGTAGCTAAGAGATAGCTAGCAATTAATGCTCCCTAAGGAAGATCCTATTACATAAAGATAATACTGATGAAGATAAAGATGCAGCACAGGTTTATGCAGGCAAGTCTGTAGAGTATCCTGTGGTTCTG